ACTTTATTTTAAACTTTATGCATGAAGACTCCAGACTAAATACATGCAATATATTTATGACATAATATTTTAATTTGTAAATAGTAACATATGTTTGCAAATTTCTATCTATAAAGTAAAACATTAAAAACAATGACTGAAAATACTCTATAAAACTGGGATTCATATAAATGCCATTTACACAGAACATGGAGGTAACAGATTAGAAGAAAAATGCAACATAATGAATTAAGCAAAAAAAAAATAAATAAATAAATAAATAAATAACGGCTTTCTGCAAAATATAAATAAGGGACATATATATTCCAAAGATAGTTACTTTGGGGAGCTAACATACTAGTAGAGTGATTCTATTTATAATAACTAGTTTTGGTTGCATTTACGTTACGTAATATGTAAACTGCTATTGAACTAAAAACAATATTATAACTATACAAGAAACTCTATTAACAATATAATAATAAAAATTGACATTTACTACTGAATACACAGAATAGCTATTTAAAGATAAGTTATTGTCCTTATTAAGTGAGGATACTGCTAGCAACAAGTCTCTCTCTAGTCTAGTTGAGAGTCTTAGAATGTTCTGGGCACTTGCTACGACAGGAACATTTTGAAGAGTTAATTATTCATGCCCTTTTTATTTTTCAGTTGTTTTTTACGTCATCTGATTCATCATAATCAAAGATGATATTAGAAAAGCCGCACGATCATTAGTCCATCAGCCCCCTGAAATTAAGAGACAGATAAAGTGCATATCGCTAAAATAACACTGGTCATGAAGTTTTGAATCTTGCAATGTTAAGTGGTGCCATTACTGTATAAGGTTTTATTCCTTCAATGTTTGAGCATGTAATCTCACACCTTACAACAGCTTGAAGATTGTGAGGAGAACATACATATAAATTTCTTACCTCTGTGTGATCTGCCACACCTTACAAAGTAGAAAGGAGTTCAAAACCTAATCCAATTATGTGTTGACATCTGCAACAACTAGTGGGAGTATTGTAAAATAAAATATTTAAACCCATCCAATATTCAACTTGGAACACACCATTAGAAATAAAATTGAAAAACACAGTGACTAATTGCATAAAAATATACAAAAACAATGTATACTAAAATTGGAAACAGTAAAAATGTAGCTTATTTATATCTTTCACCACATTGTTGCCAGGGGGGTTGAGCAAAAAAAAGAAGTTAATGAACCAGCTTGCTTTTGAAATGATAATGACACAAACTGTAAATTAGAATTTAATACTTCAATAAACCATAGAAAATTAAACATAGAAATTCAAGGAAGGATATCCTGAGGTCAGATCACTTTAAGGGTTACCCACCCCACTTCACCTACCACTAACCTCAGAAAGGATTTTAATATTGCCCAGTATTTTGAGTGCCTTGTTACCACAGACACTATACACTCGCAAATATCCATACTTCTCTGGAATTTCAACCTGAGCCCTTCCATACAACAGTCAACATCATTGATCACTGTGCACTGAAAATAACTATAAAATAAAGAATCAAGTCAAAATAAGAACAACAACATTCAAATCTTCTATGTATTATTGCTAACATTAACTTTTATGCAACATTCTTCTATATGTAAAAAAAAAATTCCAATCAGAATGCATCACACATGTGCAAAGATGGTAAAAAAAATCTAATCAGAATGCATCACACATGTGCAAAGATGTCAAATCAGAATGTGTCACAAATGTGCAAAGATGTATACTATGTGCTGTCAAACAAAAAAAAAAAAAAAAAAAAAAAAAAAAAAAAAAAAAAAAAAAAAAAAAATTATTATGAGAAATAAACACTCATCTGTTCTGATGGTTAGGCTTTTGGCTGTGGCTAGCAGACTGTAGTTTCTTTCCATAGAGCCGAGACTACTCCGAGTACTTTACCTATGGTCAGAAGTCATCTTGATCTATGTTCTATCACGAACCATTATCCCATCTGGGCAGTAGCACAGGAATGTGTCACAAGCATTTTTAGTGTACATATATTTGACATTTAAAAATTTTTCACAAATAACCAGGACAAGCTGGCAAACTGGCTGGGATCATACCTTCAAAACCTTCAAACTGGGACAATACTGGTCAAATGTGAGCATCTGGTAAGCTCATTTAAAGTGACAAACACAGAATTATACACACTTTTTTAAGCAGATATACCGGATGGCCATAATTAAACTGACAGTGCTCACAGTGTTCTGTAGCGTGATCTATTTGCGAGAATGACACCACATTTTGTAGGAAGATTAAACAAGACGGGGGGGAGAAAGGGATTCCGCAAAAAAACAAATTTAGTTCCAAAAGTCACCGCTAGGGGAATATTTGGCGTGTGTAATATAAAATAGAGTGTTTAACAAGTGCAATTAATACAGAATAAAATTACCTTTATATGAACATTTCTGATTTAGTTCAAGTGCAATATGGCAACACTTTTAAAAAAGTGTAAAATCTACATAAACATCGATAAGTCTCATGATGCAATATCACGTATGCTGAGCAGAAGAAGAAGAAGTTCTTATTCAAATTTCAATTACATCCATTCGCACAGTGCCGCTGCTTGGGTTTTAAAAGGCAATGTGTTACGTTCGAACAATCGGATTGAAAGTTATGTGCAATGTCTCCTTCTTTAGTCGAGCGTGCGTTACTGGTCAAATTCTTTAAATTCTGTTACCTCAACCAGTGCAATGCGTCAGCTGCTCTTCGTGCTTTTAGAAAGCACAAAAAAAAAAAAAAAAAATGCATAAATGTAATGGTCCTGTGTCAGTTAATGGGCTGAAAGCAATGGTTGCGACATTTGAGAAAACAAGTTCTCTGAAGGTTCAGTCAGGCAGAGGATGAAAACCTGTCCCACAGAATACAATCGAAGCAGTTGCCACGGCAATTGTCGACAGTGGACCAGACAATATTGCTGCCACCTCTATCGCTCGTGGAGTAGCTCGGAATATGGATATGCCTTACAGTACGGTATGGAAAATCTTACGAAGATTATAACTTTTATCCGTACAAGATCAGCCGTGTACACGAGCTACTGTACCCGACCATGATAGCGATGACTTTTGCTCTACCTTTCTTGCCAGAATGGAGGTGGATGATGAATTGGCCGTGGAAAATCTTATGTGAGACGAAACCCACTTTTACCTGAATGGAACTATGAAACCCAGAACTGCCGAATTGGGATGAACAAATCACCACATGCGTCACAGCAATTCCTTACATTCACCAAAGGTAACTGCTTGGTGTGGTTCACAGCGGAATTTAAAGGTCCATTCTTCTATGAGAACATTACCCCGACAGGACAGGAAACCTGTTCTGTTACCGGAGAGAAATATCGCCACATGTTGAACAGTTTGTCATTCCGGCACCTTCAGCAAAGACAATGCCTGGGGTAATCATTTTTCATGCAAGATGGAGCCCTCCACACGTTTGCTGTGGGTGAAAACAGATGCTACAACAGAAATTCACAACAGAAAGAGTCATTAGCCACTACTTTCCAACTGCATGGCCACCTCGGTCGCCTGATCATACCCCATGCGACTTCTGGCTATAGGGTTACCTTAAGTCCAAGGTCTATCAAAGACTGGTCCAGGACCTGGCTACATTGAAGGATAACATATCACGGACTGTACGGGAGATTCCTGCAGACATGTTACTTTCTGCTGTTGTGCATACTGTGCACAGAATGCAATATGTGGTCCACAACAACGGCAGCCATATTGAACCTCATTTGAATGCAAAATAAAAGGTAATTTCCGTACTGATTTGCATTTGTTACCACTCTATTTTCTATTACACAGCACCAAATATTCCTCTAGCGGTGACTTTTGGAATTAATTTGTTTTTTCGCGGAATCCTTCGTCCCTTGTCTTGCTTAATCTTCCTCCAAAATGTGGCATCATTCTCACAAATAGATCACGCTACAGAACACTGTGAGCACTGTCAGTTTAATTATGGCCACCCGGTACTTATATTTTTCGAATTACTAACTAACTACAAAATATTTTTTATAACATTTCATCAAAACTTATAATTTTTTTATCATGGTTGCACAGCAGCATGAACATATAAAAGAATTGGTAGCTGCTATGGCACTCACAGACTTAGGTTTGTAGACCCCTGTTATACACATAAAATTTCACATTCAGTTCCACGTTTATGTCATTTCTCAATGTAGAAGATTTGTTCCATTTGCCTAATTGCGATATTTGCAACTGTTGCATCAATTTACTCGTTTCCTCCAAAGGCTAGTGTATGTAAGCACAGAAGGCTAGCTTTTCAATTTGTTACACACGCAAGTCCTGTCAGCTCTTGATATATCTGATTTTGGGCTCTATGTATATTGGAAGAAAAGGAGTCAAAGCACAAAGAGAGAGGTTCATTTTCGAACTATAATCAAGAAATACCACTCATTCACAACATTTTTAGAGAACTTTGAAATTCCACAGCTAAACCCATGCTTGGAGGGTTAGGATTATATTCTCATCCTAAATTCAAAAGGGCTGTGTTATTCTGTTAATATGCAAGTATAATTTTATGATTTAAGAATAGCATAACATTTTAGTAAAATTAACATTTTTTATTTTTAAATTTAACCTTAATTAGTGCAGCTCCAATTCACCATTCCATTCAAACCTGTACCAACCTGTAATGGTCATAAACAAGACGTTTACTTAATTTTCAATAAATGATTATTTGTGTTCTTAATGGTTTCAAAAAAGATTTTTAAGGCAAATGCAATTTTCATACAGCAATTTTCATACTGTTCATATTTCAAAATAAATATGCACTAATTTTTAGCTTTTTTCTTTACCCATAAATATATCCTAAATTAATTTTATGAACAAATTTAACCAACTCGGAAGATATTCTGTGGTCGTAACCATTCTAACACAAAGATCATGTAATAAAGGCACCGCAATCACAAATCATTAATGGATTAAGCAAATTAACTTTTTATCTATTCTAATTTCAATGAATACTTACTTGACAAGGTTCCAACAAGCGTAAAGCATGTTCTGTAGCATCAACGCCAGCATTGGAAAGTTTCACAAGTTCACGAATAACTTGCGCTTCTACAAGACCAACCAATCTGGGTAGACACAGTCGATTGGCAAGTTCCAAAAGTTCTAGACAATTGGAGGGATTCACAGAATCATCAATTTCATCAGTATACAGGTACACTAAGAGTTGCTGGAAGCAGCACTTTGTCACACCAGGAAAATGCACCTAAAATTAATTGAAAAGAATTTCATACTTTTATTGTTTGCAGCAATGGATAAAGCAAAAAGGAGAATAATATTTTTATATTAAGTTCATTTCAAAACACCAAAAAAATTTACTGGTGTTTCGGCCATTTTTTTAAAAGAAATTATCCTTTTCTCCCCCCCCAATAACTACCACAGCAGCATTAGAACTTTCACAGTATATTTAAAGAGCAAGTCAATTGTTCTGTGGCAAAGTTATATGGTTTTGACTGCTTTACATGACATGATGAAGTAGCATATGTTACAAATGTTGTTAGATATATCTTTCAGTAGTCTCCATAATACTGGTACCTTCTGGAACTATTTCAGCTACATTGTAAAAGAATATGCTATTGACGCTACACTTAGAGTAAATATCTAATCATGTTGCTAAAACTTATCTTTCAACATAAAACTTGATACTCTTTGGGAAATTTTCAGCAAGTGCTGTAAAAGTAGACAATCCTCATGCTACATTTAGACTGAATATCTTTCTGGATTGTTGACATACATTTTGCAAGGTACAACATTACTCTTCACAGTATTACTCTAAGACACATTAATAAACTTACAACTTTTGCCGAACTTTCTCGAAAATCTCCACGAAACATGGCAGCCATCACATCACAACGAGCCATTAATATAGGCTTGTGTGCACAACAAAGGCCATCTTCAAGTTGAAAATAGACATCTAAAAATTAAAGGCATTACTGATGATTAGCATACAAAAATTAATATCAAGGAAATATAATAAAATTCAATAAAATAAAATAAATCTTTAATCCCAATTTTATATGTTTATAAAATGGGAAGTGTTATATATGTAACTGTAACTGTATCTATTATTATCTTTAATCGTAACTGTAATATAGAATAGTAGATGAGCAATGTAGAATAAAGGATGTTTGTGTACATCTTGTAATCATCACTGAGCACATACCCAACACATATAAAATACAACAACACATGGCGCAGCCAGTCCTTGATTAAAAAAGAAATCTTTTTTGAAGACCATGCAGCCTCGGTAAAGGTATCTACAAAAACATCATGGAAGTTGTTTACAGTGAAATCGAAACGATATCGCTGGTAGTGCGTTGTTTATTTTATTGGAAGTGGCAAAAAATACGTATTATAAACTATTTAAAGTCCTAAATAAATATGGATGGATAAAGCCACCAAGTAATCTAAATTTGACGGTAATTAGGCGAAAATTGGAAGAAATGGAACAAATTTCAAATTTTAGATGTTAGCGTCTGGTGGTATTACTAATCACCTGAAATTAAAGTAGCTATTTTATGATATTATTGGTGAAGAAGCACTTGAAATTTAATACTTTTATTAAGTGAAGAAGAAAAGGATTGACAAAGTAATTGAAGCTTCGAAAATTTTTGCATACCGAAAGCAACGAAAGTGTTGATAGACATATATTTTCTGTGAAACACAACATGTAGTGAATCGTTTGATGATTTCTTACCGATTTAAAGAAATTAAGTAGCAACTGTGGATTGCAGAATTAAAAGATAGTTTAATAAGGGATAGAATAGTAAGTGGAATTCTAAATAAAAACTCAAAGGTAGATTATTAAGGGAAGATCAGTTAACATTGGAGAAGTATTAAAATGTAAAGCTTCTGAATTAGCAGAACTCAGCTGAAAACTTTAACTGAAGAAAATAAAATAGAAGCTATCAAACGTAATAAATTTCGACCTTCAGAGAAAAAAAGTCAGCCTTGTAAGAAACTTCAGGTAAAACAAAAGCAACAAAGTACTAAATCTTTCTCAAACTATCAAGGAAATAAGTACAGTAATCCAAAGCCATGTAGAAATTGTGGAACTTTCATAAGTTATACAACTGTCCTGCTTAAAATAAGATTGCTGTACGTAAAAAGAAAAATCAGTTTTCTAAATGTGACTTATAAAATGTTAATGTTGTACAGAATTTAAGAGCATGAGTTACATAAAATGGTAATGAATATATTTAGGAGGGTCGTAGAAGATATAAATCCATTTTCTAAAATAAACCGAATGGTTGAAAACTAAAATTAAACATATCTAAATATTTATTTGTTAAGTTGGATCTGAGCTCAGTGTAATGTGCTACCTTGCCTAAATTTAAACAATTAAATTAAGAGAGAAATGTTGACTAAATCAAAAGTCACTTTAAATAATTCAATGGTACTACGATTGAGTAGTTGGAAATGTAAATTATTATGTGAAACATCGAAAGGGGACAGGATGAAATAGATTTCAAGTTGTAGCATCTGATAAAACCATTCCAGCTATTTTAGGTTTACCTACATTGCAAAAATTAAACCTAATACAAAGGATTTGTACAGTAAATCCTGATTTCTAATGAAAAGTTACCAGAACTTTTAAAAGGATATCAGATTTGTTTAAAGGAACTGGGAATTTTAACTGGATACATATCATATTAAATTAAAACCAGGAGCTGTTGGTAAAATAGAACCCTGTAGGAAATTCCACTTAGCTTATTAATCATTAAAAAAGGAATTAGCAAGAATGGGAAAAGATGGTATTATAAAGAAAGTTAACCAAACCAACAGAATTCGCGAATTCATTAGTGGTAGTAAGGAAAGGATGGAAATTTAAGAGTGTGTTTAGATCCTCAGCACCTTAACCAAAATATATGAGAGAACATTATCACATACCAACCTTTAAAGAATTTCATCTCAAATGAACATGCAAAGGTCTTTAGTTTTTAGATGCAAACAAAGCATTTTGGCAAATTAAACTGTCAGATTCAAGTTGTGAATTACTACATTTAACACTCTGTTGGTAGATATGTTTTTTAAGGTTGCCATATGGACTGAGTTCATCACCAGAATTTTCCACAGAAGTTTTTCTGAAATTTTTAGTGATTTAGAAGGAGTTTCAAATATATATAGATGACTTATTAGTCTGGGGTAAAAGATAAAAAAGAACATTATTCAAGATTAAAGAAGTTGTTTGGACAGAGCAAGAGAAAAGAATGTTAAATTTAATTTAAATAAATGTAAATTTGGGCTGAATGAAGTGGAATATATGGGACATATATTTTCTAAAGATTGTTTAAAACCAGATGAAGACAAAATAAGGCTATTCTAGATATAAAACCAAAAAAATGTGAAAGAATTAGAACTTTCCTAGGAATGATTACATATGTTTCTAGATTTATACCTAATGTATCAGAATTGACATCATGTTTAGAGATTAGTTGAAAAACAAGTTCTGGAACTGGAATGCAACACATGAAAAGCATTTAGAAGACTAAAGATGTCTTGGTAAATAAACCAGTTTTACAGTATTATGATATAAACATGCCAGTAGTTTTATCTGTAGATGCATCTCAAGAAGGACTAGGAGCAAGCAGTCTTACTGCAGAATAATTGACTAGTGCATATGCATCTAAGCGTTAACAGATACACAAGAAGAAGCTCAAATTGAAAGGAAACTTTAGCTATTGTATTTGCGTGTGAGAAATTTCACAGTATATATTTGGAAAAATATACTGTGGAAAGTGATCATAAACCACTGGATCAATTTTAAAAACCATTAATAAATGCCCGTAAACTACAAGAATGCGTATAGATTACAGCCATATCAGTTTGAGATAAAATAAACCCAGGAAAAGAACTTTTATAGCGGATGCATTATCAAGATCATTCACTGATAAAGGATCTAATTTCTTTGAAGGAGAAATAGAAGCTCATGTTGGATTAATTGTAGAATGTATACCAATGTCTAATGTAAATGGAAGTTTTTCAACTGGAAACAGAAAATGAAGAACTACAAGTTTTAAGAAATTAATAAAAATGGATGGCCAGATGAAAAATGTATGGTTCCAGAACTGGCAAAACCATATTTTAACTCAAGAAGAACTATCAGAACAATGGATTAATATTAAAAATTCCTGTGTTGTTGTACCAAGAAGTTTACGAAAGATATGTTAAGCAGAATTCATTATGGTCATTTAGGAGTAAAAATGCAAGATCAAGCAAGAGAAAATTATATTGGCCAGGAATGTCCCAAAGAAATTGAAGATTGGTACTGAATTGTCAAAATGTTTAAGTTTACAGAAAGCTAATACTAAAGAACCAATGATATCTAAAGAAATACCTAATGGTCCATGGGAAGTATTGGGAACAGACCTCTTTACTTTCAAGGAAGGGATTATCTAATAGTTATATATTATTTTAGCAAATATGTTGAAATTAGACATTTGGAAGATTTTGCAAGTGTAGCAGTGATAAGCAATTGAAATCAATTTTTTGCAAGACATGGTTATCCGAAAATAGTATATTCGGATAATGGTCCACAATATAATTGCAGGAAATATAAGATTTTTGCAAGAAGATGGAATTTTGAAACCAGAACTTCAAGTCCCAAATTATCCACGTCTAATGGAATGGTTGAAAGACATATTCAAACTGTCAAGCGAATGTTAGAAAAAGCTTGTAGTTGACACAAGGATCCATATTTAGTTTTAACTGGAATCGTAACCTCTCCTATTTCAGATGAATTAAGTCACCTTCAGAATTGATGTTTGGAAGAAAAGTAAATGGATTGATCCTATAAAAGGAATTTTGTCCAAGCTAAACGATATGAAGACCATAAACAACATTTACTGAAGAGACAAACCTTACAAAAAGTTATTATGATAGGAATGCAAACCATTAAAACCACTGAAAACAGGAGATCATGTTTACATAAAAGAGAAAGGAAAAACTAAATGAAGAGGGAAAATTATAGAAGAAGCAGAAAGACCACGTTCATATAGGATTATAGAACAGATGGAAGAATGTAGAAGGAACAGAAGAGACCTAAAAGGACTAATCAGGAAGAGTTTGCAATACAAAACAACTATGAGAAGTATAGATGAACCCGAGATACATGAAAATAGTAGGAGCACTACAATTTAGATGTGCCTGTAAGTCCTTAAATCTAACAGAAGTGTTGTGTCACCAAATAGTGAAGAGGTATAGTATCATCAAATTTTCAAATGGACATAACTACGTCACTTGATCTGGTAGGACTGTTAAGAAACCTTATATTTAAAAGAATATGTTAATTTTACTACTATTATTATTTTTTATAAAAAGGGATGTTTATATGTAACTGTAACTGTATCTATTTATCTTTAATCGTAACTGTAATATAGAATAGTAGATGAGCAATGTAGAATAAACGATGTTTGTGTACATCTTGTAATCATCACTGAGCACGTACCCAACACATATAAAATACAACACAGGAAGTATAAACCTGATATATCGGGCTTTAATGAAAGTTTTCCACCACCGCAAATATCCTCTGCACAAACAGTTCACGCTAGAATGTTTAATCATATTTTGAAACAAAGAGACTTGCTTTAGAACACTGTGCTGTGAAATTTGTAAAAGAAATATCGTTATCATTAAGGACAAGGTGTCTGAAATGGAAGCATTATGCTACCAGATTAGAACCATCATTTACTTTCAGTTCTGTTGCAAAAAGTCAGCTACAGAATGTCACCAAATCATGTATTCAGCTTTAGATACTAATCATATGACACTATGAAGCTTTGGTACCGAAAGTTCAAAAACAAGCACTATGACATTCAAGAAGCGTCTGGGCAGCAAGTGACAGTATAGTGGTTAGGGGAGCCTGACTGTGATACCGAAGGGCCCGGGTTCAAATCCTGGAGAAAGCATGGT